CTGGCTGGCTGGCTGGCTGGCTGGCTGGCTGGCTGGCTGGCTGGCTGGCTGGCTAGCTAGCTAGTTAGTTAGTTAGTTAGTTAGTTATAAAGGAACCAGCCTTTTGTCAAGCAAAATGCCAACCTCTTCTGGAATTATTTTAATTCCAAGAATGAATTACTAGGTAAATACTTTTGAAAGATTATTTATTTATTTTTATTTATCAAATTTTAAAACCGCCTCTCTCCCTCACAGAGAGACTCTGGGCACTGTACAAAAGAAAATATTAAAAACCATAAAACAATATATAAACTTTAGAGTGGCAAGCAACATTAACAATTCATTGAAAGCCAGGAAAGGGCTTGCAGGACAATGACTAGCCCTACAACTGTGCACACTGTGCTTCCCCCAAAACATGGAGAATTTACCTCTAATGAATTCCTAAGGTATTCATAGTAATCCTCCTTCCTCCTGTTCTTCTTTTTCTTTTCAGGTATCATAGAGTGTTCTGGACGTGTGTGGACAGAACCAGCCCCAATCATTCAAATGGGCCAAAATGTTTCTATAAATTGCCATTGCATGGAAAACTGTCAGAAAGGAAAACTATCTCTGATCTTAAATAACAATGAAGTTGAGGATACACTCCTGTCAGTTATAAACCAAACTACAGTCCAGCTCAACCTTCAGAATTATAATAAGCCCTTTTCCACAGTGTCATGCCTTCTCAAAAGTGCTAGCCGACTGATCTGTGGAACACAATTTTGCATGGGATGTAAGTATCATGGCTATGCAGCATGAGCTAAGCCATTCTAGAATACCTTAATTAATTTAGTATAGTCAATTATCTAAAGGTATGTTTTTGAGGTGGTACTTATGTTTTTTTTAATAGTCCATTTTCAGGAGGTATTATAGCTTGGTTTGTAGTCTAAGCATTATCTAAATTAAGGGAGCAAGCCAAGCCGTGTAGTGCAAAATGAATGGGGCTTAATCCTGGGTAAATATGCACATGTTGCACTCTAAATTGCATCTACTTTAAAGTAAGTATCACCAAAGTCAGTAAGACAGACTCCAAAACATGCATAGTCCAAATAACTTACATTATATGCTCCCAGGTAGACGTATTAAAGATTCCATGTTTATTTCTCAAATAATGGTGAACAAGTATTGCCAACAATAAATTTTAGCCTATGTTGCTAATTATACAATAGGTAGAAATGTTATTGACAGCAATTTCACATTAATTGGGACTGATTGTATATGCCATCTAGATGTACATTTTGCTCTATATATAACCATTGGAGAAGTAATGGGAAATCCTGGTCACTGATTAAAGATAGTTAAGTCAAATGAAAAATGACTGAGCTAATAGCCATTTTCTTGTGTGTGGTTTATAGCACTTTACTGCATCATCCAACTACTACTATGCCAATCATGGGAACATAGCTTATATTGTCAGAATGATAGTGGGGTGACATGACACTCAATGCTGGATAATAGTTTTTAGGAATTGTTTTGACACTTTTCTGAAAAGACCAGTATTGATACAATTTTAGAGACAAAATTACAAAAAATGCTAGCCACAAAGGAACTAAATGCTGTTTTTAGGACATTTAATTGCTACACAATAAAGTATTTTGTGACAAATAAAAGTATTGTAAAATCAATTAGAGTATCAGTTATATTTTAAGATGAAAATTGCAAGTCTTCAAATGAATCTTATTCAAATTGAAGCAACTGTGTTCATTGGCACATCTTAGACGAAAAGGGGACTTAAAGCTACTTTGAATATATTCATTTAAAATGCCAAAGGAGATAGTGAGGAAATGTTTATTTAACAGAGATATATGATTATGTATTCTCTGGGTATGTTTTAAATTAGCATAATTTTACAAACTCTTTGATTTATAGATCTGCCTGAAAAACCAGCCAATTTAACCTGCATTAAACCTGAGCAATCAAGTAATATGATCTGCACTTGGGAACCAGGAAAGAAAACACATTTAAACACTAACTACATTCTGTATGTGAAAAGGTAAGAAAAGTCTTTATCCCATGCTAGACATTTTATACCAAGTATTAGCAACTTTTAGAGTTGACTGGCATGATTACACAATTTTGCACAATGTTGTAGGTGCACCAAAATAAAAGTAAAATATCTGACCTTTCACAAGCATTCATATATTTTTGCCTGAGATCTTATGAGACCTCATGCAAGAAACAAAGAATTCGCAACATTTGTCAAACTCCAAGATTTTGGCCACTCTTGATAAAGCATAAAAACAACAATGGAATAATATCAGAAATGTGCTCAGATACCCTTCTTTCTGTTTTTAAGGGAAGTTTCAAGATCTTTCACTTTGGTCATGTCCTTTTACTTTGAATTAATTAATAGGTTCATGTTAACATTCTTATCAGATCTTAAATGTTTTTATTTTCAATTATCAGCTGCCTGAATGTCTTTTGGATAAAATGATGCACTCTCTCTCTTTATCTCCCCACCCTCTCTCTCTTTCTCCTTTCTCTCTGTCTTCCACCCTCCTTCCCTATTTTTGAAGCTCCAGTCATCATTCATGTTAATTATACTGAGGATGAGATGCTTAGCAATTTCTCTGAAAAGATAAACTCCAACATTTTCATAGGTCATTCTTTTGACCAGCAGAGGATTGAGAAGGAAGGGAATTGTTTAATCACCAGGCATTTTACTATACACCTCCGAGCCAGATGGTTTCTGATGTAAACATATATACAAGCATAAATTTGTATCTGGAATTTTTGAGAAGAGTGTTTTGGGATGGAATTTTATGGGGAAAAGTAATTGCCAGGATATCATTAAGCATGCTATGACTCCTCTGCTGACAAATGCAGCCAGCAGAGTCCAGCAGGGTTGGGACTTTGTGATATGTATTTGCTTAAAGTATTTGCTTAAAGTCTCATCCTAAAACTAGGTTAGCTACCAATTCAACTAAACTTTGACAAATGTGAAAGAATGGTATCTGTGCTGTGGTTTCCCTGCTTGGAGCCACAAACCAAGGTCAAACATTTTAATGCCATGCTTCTGATGAGTGAAAAAGAAAAATGTGACCCACTTACATTTTCTGCAAAAAAAAAAAAGAGGTTACAAAGCTTATTTTTAAATCTAATTTAAGGAAATAACAAAATAATTGTTTTTGACTTGATATACAATGCACACTTTTATGCAACTCTGGCACCACTCATGAGATGCAGCACCTCCCAAGTTTATGGGTTTTTCTTAATTTCCTGAGAACAAGGCAATGTATAGCAGCAGCTTTCTCCCAGTTGTCTTCATATGTATTTGACTAGAGTTCCCTTCACGATTGCAATATAGCCACTGGCTAGACTAACTGGGGTAGTTGCTGGGTGCCATGGCCATGAGTTCTTGGGCAAGTTATCCTGACTATAGGTCTAATTACACCATTGAATAAATAATCGAAAAATAGAGTTGGAAGCAATGTTCCCTCTAATTTTTTTTCAGTGTGAGCAGAAAAGTATAGTGTTTGAGCGGCATATTTTCATGCCTG